CGTTTCCAATCCATTTTTGTTTCCAATTAGGGCATTAAGGCATCTCTGATTTGAATATTTACTATTGTAAGTTCACATCGTTAAATCGACCTACAATTTTACTCTTTGACGATTTCAAATATCTATTATTGCAATATAAAATATTATTTATAGTGAATGTGATTCTTAATTTGTTGTTTTTTGATAGTTGATTATTCGATAAGGGAAAAATCTTAGTTTTGTCTCATTCAGCCTCAGATCAGCGTTCACCATTTAAGATACACTCTGCTATTTTCTCCTATACTTAAAACTTTTTTGTAGTTGTAACTTTACATGCTATTTTATAAATTACTTAAGGGATTAAATCTTTATGCTTAACGACATCCCATACAATACTCAAAACTAATGAACCCCCATATGTAATCTATTGCATATCTTGTCTGTCCATTTACCAGTCTCATGGAAGTTATCAATGTTCGTTTTAGTGTAGGTAGGTGTAATCCCCTATGCAAATTAAAATAATTTAATTTTTTTTAATTCACATTCACATACAGGGTTGCCCATATTCGACGGACCATGTTTTTTTTTTTTTAAATCAAAGAAAAAAATAAAAAATTGGCGGTTGGCAGTGTTAATCATTTAATTTGTTCCAAGTAGATTTGTTTACATCAATTTTTGAATATGATATCTCTCAAATGGTCGCATCTGCCGTTGATGACGTATTGTGCCCTCTTTGCTGCATTTTCCATCGTTTTTGCCAACATTTCGGCGGGAATAGCGGCTATTTCTTCACGAATGTTGTCCTTGAGCTGTTCTACGGTCCTTGGCTTGTTAACGTAAACCTTTGACTTCAAATATCCCCATAAGAAGAAGTCAGGCGGAGTCAAATCGGGCGAACGCGGTGGCCAGTCCAAATCACCACTTTTCGACATCAAACGGCCCGGAATCAAATTCTTCAGAAAATCGATTGTTATGCGACTTGTGTGCGGTGGAGTGCCGTCTTGTTGAAACCAGAACTGCCTCATACGCTTTCGACGAATAATTGGCATTACAAAATTAGTCATCATGTCGCGATAAAGCTCCTGATTGATGGTAACAGCATGGCCATTTTCATTTTGGAATGAAGAGGCACTTCTTGAATCTCCTGAGGATTTTCAGTGGCGTAAAAACGGCAATTTCGCTTATTTACGGTCCCATTCAATGTGAAATGGGCTTCATCGGACATGATAATTTTGTTCCAAAATTGCTCGTCATCTTCGGCCATGTCGATGACTCTTTGGGCCCATTCCAATCGACGAGGCTTGTCCGCAGGCAACATTCTTTCGATATTCTCGGCCGATCGCCTTGGTCGACTTTTTAATGGCCGCTTCGGATTAGAAAGAGCCTTACGTATAAACGCTTTATGGTGTTCTTAGAAGGCGCACTTCTCACATTTTCTAATGTTTTAAAAGCACGTTGAGTTTTCACAACTGACTTCTTCTGTTGAATGTAAATTTCAACTATTTCAGAGCGCTGGCGTGACGTGTATTGGTTCATAGTAAAAATCTGCTTGGACTGACGCTTCAAACGCGGTATGTCATTAAGCGATGTGACATCTCTGTTAAAAGTTATGGCGTTGCCAGATGGGTTCGTCGAATGTGGGCAACCCTGCAGCAACAATTTTTTTTCAGGTTTGGCACCAGTTTTACAGTGCACAAGACAATGGGGTTAAAGTTTTAGACAGGACAGACTCGTATTGGATAGGCATAAGTTAATATTTAGTGGGTGAAATGGACCATAACTTTTGTGTGAATATTTTTGATGCTGAATATCTCTTTCTGTCAAAATCATATATGAATTTTGCATGTTCCTGTGGGTTCGGACAAAAAAAAAACAAGATAAACCTATGATTTGACTGCATACCTTGTAGTAAGGTACCAGAATAAACATCTGTCCTGTCCCATCTGCATACCAGACCTGGAGTTGTTAAAAATATTGGGATATGTGAAATATAAAGACAAATTTTCTGTGAAATTTTTGAAATTTTGTGAGAGAAATACAAAAAGGAGTGAACCGATAGTGCTCATCTCCTAAATTGATCTAAGTTTTTAGCATTATTACGATGTACCAAGTTTGAACCAAATCGGACACTCCCTTCGAGAGTTGTCTTGCGGACCAGCCAGCTAGACAAACGGAGGGACGGTCACCCTTAAATTGACTGCAAATGTTCTGAAACGGATTTGGCCCAAAGAGGTCTAAAACGGTTGTTTCAATGAGACACAATTTGGCCGTATCAAATGATATATACCCACTGTAGCCATATGGCTAAGGGTATACACTGTATGTATGAAGTATTGTGACCTTTGTCATCCAGTTATAACTCCTCAAAATAACCTATAATACTATAATAACAGGTATATTCAGCTATAAATGAACATTAACCAATGTAGTTAATATACGTCGATATCTTAAGAGTTCCATATGTCATTTTAAACTTTTTAAGAATTAATTATCTGCATTAATTGTCAGTTTTCTGAGACCTTCTCTAGTTTTGGTGATACAAACAGAAATTCGCTAAATTTGCAGGAGTTTACAATTATTATAATAATAGTTTATATATTATACTTTTATTCCAAAAGTGTGGATATGGAAAATAATTAGGAATAAAAATACTCTATATATTTGTTTTTTTTTTTTCCAACAGAAACTTGGCTAAATTTTCCGAGGACAGTGTTTGTATAATTTTTGTTTAAGCAATTCAAAATGAAAACATCAAAATTAATTTTTTCTCCAAGGTAAAGGACGTATGGAATACTTATGGAGCATATCAATGATGCAATGTGGATGTTATTGTTCCCTTACCTCAAATCACCCAAGTCTAGGTATGGAAGTTAAATTTCTTCTGCCGTTGTAGAAGGGTCAATATATATAGGTTTCAACACAAAGACAATATTCTTTTGTATATAGGTCATTCTATACATTTTCTGGAATAATTAAATATACATATTTTCATGGTAATAAATTGTATTTTATGTCTACCAGAAAAAACTGCTTTGACAAAAATAACAACAACTGTAACTTACACCGGTACTAAATCGCATTGGACACTTGAAATTGGAAATAACAAGTTAAAAAGTATCAGTCAGTATTGCCGACAGATATATACCCTCAGCCTATGTTCGATTAAATAATCAAAATATATTTGACTAGTGTTACAATTATTCAAACGTTTGGCCCTCTATGGAGCAGGTTCCGAAGGAATGGACCAATATTGTCCATTCCATATCATATATATAAATATTCCGACGTTTCTGGTATGGATTATATCGACTAACTCCTTCACTTTATATGAGATATGTAATAATTTTTAGAAAATGTTAAAATGTGCGTGATGTACCAGATAGAGTCTACCGAAATATTCCATTATTATACTTCATCTGATACAAATAAAAAATATTGAGCGAAATATTGGGCAAACTTACAAGAAAAGATATTTATTTCCAAATTTATACGAAATCATAAATTCCGATAATTTTCATATTCATATCATGCTTCTTGTTTAGAGAAATATTTGAGCATAGCAAGTAGTAAAGAATTGCTAAATTGTTTCGAAAGTTATGACAGATAAAATTATTGAAAATTGTGACCCCAGAAGGGGTTGGCAGATATATATCAACTTCACAACAGATCTTGTGTTAGCAAAAATGTTTGTATGTGTGAAATTTGAACCCTATGGGGGAGAAGTAATGGTTCGATCTATACCACCTTTATAACAGATCTTGTGTTGATAGAAATGTTTAGATGTGCCAAGTCTAAATGGAATCGGATGTTAATTTGGCGTTTTATTAGCTTCATGGGTATTCAAAATTTCGACACTTTGTGGGGGAGGTACCAGAAGGAGTGGACCGATACATTCCATGTCAACACCAGATCTTGGGTTTATAAAAATATTGGAATGTGTGAAATTTGAAGACAATCGGACTCTTACATGACATTTTATAAGAATTGTAATTATTAAAAATTTTGACCTTTTGTGAGGGAGGTACTTGATGGAGTGGACCAATATTGTCCATTTTCGCACCTGACATAGCACTGATGAAAATATTAGGATTGCAAAGTTCGAGCAAAATCAGATTATCGTTTCTCTTTCTGTGCAGAAAATATTTTTTGAAAACGTCTACCTTTTGGGGGGAGGTACCAGAAGGGGTGGACCGATACATTCCATTTTCACCCCAGACCTTGGTCTAATAAAACTAATAGGATGTGTGAAATTTAAAGACTATCGGACTCTTAAATCACATTTTATAAGAGTTGTAATTATTCAAAATTTTGACCATTTGTGGGGGAGGTACTTGATGGAGTGGACCGATATTGTCCATTTTCACACCTGGTCTAGCACTGATGAAAATATTAGGATTCGCAAAGTTCGAGCAAAATCGCATTATCCTTTTTCTTTCTGTGCAATAAATTCGTTTCTTTGAAAATGTTGACATTTTGTGTGGGAGGTACCAGAAGGAGTGGACCGATATCGCCCATCTCCGAACTCGATCTAAGTTTGACAAAAATATTACGATGTACCAAGTTTAGATCAAATCGGATACTTCCTTCGAGAGTTATCGTGCGCACCAGCCAGCCAGACAGACAGACAGACAGACGGACGGACGGACGGACGGACATCGGCAGATCGACTCCAAATGTTCTGAAACGGATTTGGTCCAAAGAGAGCTAGGGTCTAAAACCGTTATTTCGACTAGGCACGTTTTGACCGTATCAAATGATATATACCCTCTGTAGCCATATGGCTGAGGGTATAAAAATAAACACCAACTTCATCTACCCAGGAGATCGAATTATAAGTGTTGCAATTCCCAATTGTAGGTTGTACGTTCATAGTTATACACATTTACACCCACATACTTAGCTTGGTAACACATATGGTGCTGTTGTTGGACATATCTCGGCGACAAGTTTGGTACATAAATAGTGTTACTTACAAGCACATGAAAAACCATCCCGGACTACTTTGTACGAACATTACTTACCTCTGGCTGGTATTGGATCCTTTTGTGGTGTTCCTAATTCAATTTCTTTATATTCCTGATACAAATCACCAATTTGTGCTGTACAACGCAGCAGCAAAGCACCCCCTGTGGCGCCGGCATTAGAGCCACCGGAATACGTTGTTCCGCCAGGACCCAAGGCATTTATCATGTGTGAATTACTACTGCTGCCAGCATTGGAGCCAGAGGCTGATGCAGCAGCAAAGTGTACCGACTGCAATTGCACTTTTAGACTCAGTCTCGACGCAATTAAATTGTCAACTGTTCTAATGTATTGTGTTTCCTCGGAAGATACCTGCAAGAGTAACGATAACAAGATATATGGTTAGGAATGTAATTCATTTTAAGGCGGCATTGCGTGTAGAAATATTTGTTTTTTTTTTCCTTCTTCTTCTTTGTCTTTTTGAAAACTCAAAGTGCCATTGCCTTAAGATATCTGTTTATTGGTAAGTGAGAAAAATGATGGAGAAATTTATTGTGTAATAGGCGTTTTTCTTTTTGAGTGGATGTGTAACGAGGTTGATATGTATACGCAGAATAAATAGCGTTACAAAATGGAATGTAAATAAAATTATTTTTATTGGTTACATATATCAATAATAATAATTTTTTGTTATGTGAAATATTTTAAAAATATACTACACCCTTTTCAGTTGTAATTCGAATAATTTTTGGTTTAATTTGTAAAATTTGTAATTCGAGAATTCCAATTGTAATTCGAATTATTCCAATAGTAACTCAAATTGTTTCATTTAAAATTCAAATTATTTAATTTTTTCTTCGATTTTTAAATGAAATAATTCGAATTACAATTAGATTAATGCGAATAAAAATTTGAATTCTCGAACTTTTCACTGATATAATTCGAATTACAATTGTAATTTTCGATTAACAAATAGAATTCACAAATTACACTTAGAATGTTTAAAATTGCATCTGAAAAAGATGTATTATCCAATGAAAAAAAGAAAAATAGTGATATATCTTGCAGATCAAACGCGGGATTTTTGTACCTCTCCTTATGTTGTCACCACTTGAATAGGTGAAAACGAAATAAAAACCAAACGTATATTTTATTAAACTGTACATAACGACGTTCTACATACGTTTGAAGGTGGGTCATTTCTTTTGGGGATAATAACTTATCAAGAAATATTCGAATTATAGGGGAGATGCATTTTTAAATGTTCACCTTGAGTAAACAGCTAAATTCTAAAAAAAATCCTTGCGTCTTTACATTCTTCGGAATTAAATGAAATATTAAACAAAAAACCATATGAAAAATATAAAAGCTTGGCGCTGATTCAAAATCGCTTTTCGTCAAAATATTTTAACTTTTTAACGATTAGCGATATTTGTATATGCAGAAATTTTAACTTTGTCATTCCGTTTGCAAATCCTCCAAAAAATTTCGAGTGATTTTACGAAGTATACATATTATTGATCATCGTAAAATTCTATGTCCTTTCACCTGTCTGTTCTAATTACGTTATCTTTCGAACAAAGTAAGAGGAGGGTAAAATTTTAAACATGTCTCTAATTTATTCATCTAAAAAACATGTTTCGTGTGTGCTAAAATTCAATCGAATCGGACTGACATTACACATTGGGTGCACAATACAGGGTGAGAAAAAAACTGCAACAAAGTCAAATGTCATAATTTGTACACTTTTTTAAATTTTATTGAATGAAAGCAAAAAATGTAGGAAATATCATCAAATTTTAGAATAAGTTTAGATTTGTTCAAATTGGTCACCTTTGGCATGAATTATGGCCTTTAAACTGCCAATGAAACCGTTACACGCTGCCCGAATGTTGCTCTGGGTATTTAGGCCAATGCCATATGAAGCGCTTGCTTGAGGTGATCGACACTTTGGTATTTTTAGTGCCAACCTTGCTTTCCAAAATACTCCAGACACAATAGTCCAACAGATTGGTATTCGGAGATTTTGGTGGCTATTGTGCGTTGGAAATGAAGCGAGGAACCTAGTTTTGTCACCATTCTTGGGTGGCGCGTGTTGAGGGCGATGGCGCTGAGTCCTGTAGGATTGTCCAAGGTATGGGGTCAAAATGTTTGAGTGCCCAAGGCTTTAATACACCCTTCAGAACATTTTCGCGATAATATTCGGCATTTATTCTGATACCACGGTCGATTAATACGAGCGCAGAGCGACCATAGGCTGTTATGGCGGGCCACACCTTCAACATGGCCGACGCTTGAGTTCTGATGGCCAACTGAAGGTGCCCATTTTCACCTGACCTCTTTGGCAAATAAACACGATTCTGTAATTTGGTACTTAACATTTAATTGGTGGATACTAAATGTACATTTTGAATTTGGATGGAATATTATCTGGGAAAAATAAACCATGTACTTGAAACTTAAAAATGTAAGCTGTTTTTGTAATAGTTATTTTATTTTTTGTTATTTGTAAAACCCTATTTTCAGAAAAAGGAAAAAAATATTTGTTTTTGGAGGCAAGTCACACATTATTTTCTCAATTTTTAACCCATTTTTCGAGATGTCCCAGTATATGCCTGCAATCGAATTTAATATATAATCAAGAAATATATGACAACGAAACTTGAAAAGTCGACCAGAGAAATTAAATTCCGAATCACTGTGCGGTGATGCATTGCTTAATTTGTAGAAATAAGTTAGGATTTATTTATATTTTTAATTGTTTCAAATATAAAATTTATTTTTTCAAATTTTTGTAGATGTTGTTCAAACTATTCCAAGAAATATTTAAAAATATGACCATATATATTTTTGGCATTTTTATTCCTTTATTGTATTTGTTTATCTTATTTGAATGTTAAAGAAGAAAAAAAAAAAAAACAACGAATAGAAACACATAACAATGGAAAATCCTTTTAAGGATATTATATACATAACTTCGTCTTCTAAGTGCTTTAGAAATATTAAATGAAATTTTATTTGAGGAAAATAGAAAAAGAAGTAGAATATAAAGTCCAACACAAATAGAATAGTAAGACATATTCCATTGTTTTTATTGTTTCTATTTTAAGAATTATTATTTGTAATATTGTTGTTGATATGGAAACACAACAGTTATATTTGTTTGAATAAAGTTGGCCAAGCTCTATATAAAACGTACGAAAAAGTATATATATGTATATATATGTTTTAGAATTAAAAAAATACATAAAAAAAAAACATAATTTGTTTATTTTTTTCTATATTTATAGCGCAGTAAATAATTTCATATAAAATACATGTAAGCAAAGGCTACAGTCGGGCTATCCTACAACACCACAATTATCCGTAAAGTTTCTATATATCTGAAACTCATTTAATCTGAACGACCGGCAAAAAGTGATGTAGGCTATAAAAATATAATATAATAAATGATAAATGTACAACTCAATTTTTCAAGTCAAAAAAAAAAAAAAAACCCAAACACACAAAATGTAAAAAAATATATATTTTTTTTGGCAAATTTTTATTATATTATACATTCCGATTTCTTGGCTATCAGAAGTGACTTTGCCTGTGTGATTTCGCCGGGGGTTAAAATACTAATATTACATTCTGTTATTTTCAATAACCACCACCATTTGGTTAGAATTTGGAAATTTTCGTTAATTTTCGTTAAATTCGTTAAAAATTCTTTCAAAATTTGATATAGCCGTTATATTGGGGTCTATACAAAGACCTGGACCTGCATAGACAATTTTCTGTCATAGACTGTAGTACCCATTACGAATGCTAAATACGAAATTTGAAACAACACCGGTGAACCATGCCGCTAAAATCATCAAATTACCGAATATTGGGAGGTACTGTTATATGGAGGTTATACGAAGACTTGGACCTGAATACGCAATTTTTTGTCATAGGCTGTAGCACTTAATAAGAATTCTAGGTACGAAGTTTGAAACAACTCCACCGGATGATGCCCGATAAATCATAAAAATATCGAATATCGGTGGATACCGTTGTATGTGGGCTATACGATATCGTGGACCTATATAGGCATTTCTCTTCCAGGGGTAAAGTTCTTGGAAATAACTTCTAGTATGGATTTTTAGACAATTCTATTGAGAAATATAGCTAAAATAATTAAAATTTTCAGACAATTTCATTAAAAATTTTGGCTACAGTCATCAAAATATCGAATATCGGGCGGTTCCGTTATATGAGGATATACGATATCGTGGACCAATATAGCTCACCTTCGAACTTAACCTACCTGCAGACAAAAGTCTGATCTGGCCAAAATTTTAACTTTCTATTTTTATTCGTTTTTACTCTACCGTGATTACAATAACATGTATGGTGAAGGGTATAAAACAAGTAAACAAGCAGCTAAGTTCGGCCGGCCGGAACTTTTAATACACTCCTTCATTTCGAAGAAATTACAAAATGTAAAAAATAAGATTAACAAGTAAAAAAGCTGTAAGTTCGACCGGGCCGTACTTTTAATACCCTCCACCATTTGGTACAAATTTGGCAATTCCCAAAAAAAAAAAAATAAATAAATAAATAAAATCGGTTAAAAATTCATATAAAATTTTAAAAATACGGAATGCCTATACGAAGACTTGGGCCTGCATAAGCAACTTTTGTCATAAGTTATTTCAATATTTAAATGCGAAAAATCTGTTTATAATGTAGCTAAAATCATCAAAATACCGAATATGGGGGGTACCGTTATATGGGGGCTATACGAAGACGTGGACCTGCACAGACAATTTTCTGGCATGGGCTGAAGTATCCATTTCGAACTTCACATGCAAGATTTGAAACAATCCCGGTAAATAATGTCGCTAAAATCATCAAAATACCGAATATCGAGGGGTACGGCATATGGGGGCTATACGAAGACGTGCACCTACATGGCCCATTTTCTGTTTTATGCTGCAGTATCTATTACGAACTTCAAATACCAAACTTGGAACGATTCCATTAAATAATGTCGCTAAAATCATCAAAATACCGCATATCGGGGGGTACCGTTATATGGGGGCTATATGAAGACGTGGACCTACATAGCTCATTTTTTGACTGAGGATGTAGTATCCATTACGAACTTCAAGTACCAAATTTGAAACGATTCCGGTAAACAATGTCGCTAAAATCATCAAAATACCGAATATCAGGGGGTACCGTTATATGGGGGCTACACGAAGACGTGGACCTGCACAGACAATTTTCTGTCTTAGCCTGTAGTATCCATTGCAAACTTCAAATGCAAAATTGGAAAGAATTCCGGTAAATAATGTCAAATCATCAAAATACCGAATATCGGGATGTACCGTTGTATGGGG